TTTTTTTTTTTTTTTTTTTTTTTGCTTCTAAAAGGAAAATTCCATGTGATGTGTTATAAGTTTGGACATTGATTATTTATCTTCTAAAAAGACTTATTTGGTCCTTTCTTCAAGAGGAAGAAGCACTATATTCCCTGAAAATAGGAGAGGAAACTTGTAAATGATCACAAGGAACCTTTTCTCTGCATTGAGAAGTCTTACCTTTTTTTTGTGAAGAGTGTGTGAATAGGAGAAGACGTGGTTAGTTACTGTACAAAGTTTAAGTCTGTTTTTGTCAATTCTTTTGGCACATGAAGGACTGGACGTTGAAAATGACATGATGAAACCTTGTGAACTCTCTGAGTTTTATCTTGTATAGTTGCAGAAATTGGACTGTCAGTATCTGCAAAGTGTTATGCTGTATGCTGAGACTTTTTATAAAAGTAATATTGTAAATTGTACCTTTTTTTTTTATTTTTTTTTTTATACAAAATAAATCAAATGCTTTATTTGATGCTGGTCTGTTATGCTTGTGTGTAAAGATGTCAATCTGCCAGTGTTGTGCTGTATATTGACCTTGCCTTTTATATCCAGGATTCAAAAGCATGTCACTGACCTTTCACACATGCACATTCACCCATTACTGACAGGAACCTGAATCAATCTTTTATCGCCATATGGCTGTGTAAAACTGCATTCATTCCAGTCCATAGTGGGAAAAATGTGCTTATTCTTAATATATAACGGTCCACAAATCATAAAGCCTAGCAGTTTTTCTTGCAATTGACCTCTTTCTCACTTCCTGTGTGATAAAACTCATTTCTTGAAGGTGTTTGGAAGTAGAACCGTATCCACAGGTTCTCTCATTCGTATAATCTGTGTATGGATGAAATGGCTGTTAAATCAATGCTTGAGCTTTTGATTTGTGGAATTAAGTTTGTAAAATAATTGTCTGTCGGTTTACAGTCGGTCAGCCGGCCCCTTAATGAGCATGAAATAATAAATCAGAGACCCGGATAGTGATTTTTTTTATTTTTTATTATTATAATCACATTTTTTTTACAGCTTCAGCTATTCTAAAATTATTCAGAATTGTACACCCAAGTCCCCTGGACTAAAATTGTGTGAATAAAGCTGATAAATTCACATTGTTCGCATATCAGACATTAAAAAATCGATTTAATTTATAGTGTAGTAAGTGAGTCATTTTGTGGGATGTAATTCAGGAAAACTATTTAACTACAGAAAAAAAAGATAATGGTATATGCTCTTCTTTATTTCATCAATTTCTGCAAAGTGTACATTTAAAGATTGTTTCTCAAATGCAGCCTAAACCTCTATTAGTGTTCTTGATTTGAAGAGTGCGCCACCTGCTGGCGGCCAGACTTCACCTCAGAAAAACAATGGACATTCCTTTGATAGTTTTCAGTTTCATTATTTATGGGGGAAAAGATTGGCAGTTGGCAAGTCTCATCAAAATACATACATAAATGTATGCAATTTTAAAACTAAAGTTTTTAAATGTTATTATTTTAGTGATCAATCCATCGGCACACTAACAAAGCTTAAATTTAGCAGAGATTACTTCAAATGAACTTCAAATGTGTCTGTTTTTTATTTTCAAATATAATGTAGTTATTTCAATTATATAATCACAAATTCTCAAAAGATTTGAAAAGAATGAGGTTTATTAATGTGAGAAAACATTGAGGATACTCATACACGCAAATCAAGCCTTACAGAAACCTCTATTATTTCTTGTTTTTCTCTTATCATAACACTGATCACAAATAAATTCACTCATCTAAAACACTACAAGGCAGAACACAAACTACAAGGATGACCTGAATGTGAACCGGCCATTCAATCACAATCACAAATAAATAACAGCTTTCACATCACCGATCACAGTAAAACCACCAGCACTAACTCTATGTGGTTAAATCCCCACTCTACTTGATGGATTTGAATATTGTGGACCAACCTACGCTAGATCTTTAATGTTAGCAACGGAGCATGAAATAACAGGATTTGCACTAAACAAATCAGAAACTAAAAAGAGCTTCACAGCTTCCATTTATTGCTTTTTAGCACCCACTCCAAAAACAGCAACAATGACATTTCTCACACTTTTACACTGCATGTTCTTAGTCAGTATTTTGGTTTTGTTTTCCAGTTAAAAATATCTAAATGTCCTTAAAATAAGATGCATTTAATTTAAGGTTGTGTAATATAATGACTTGTTTTCAGATAAAAAAAGTTTTCGGTAACACTACAATAAGCTTCAATTCGTCAGCATTAATCAGTAAAGAACTAACACCGAACGACAATTTTTAAACATAGGTTAATATTATATAATAATTTATAATTATACTATGGATAATTGTTGTAATTCATCATGTTCATTTATAATATGTTAATGTTAATTCATGCAACTTGAAACCTTAAAAATGTATATGCAAAAATTAACATTAACCTAAATTAATAACGCTGTGAAAGTATTTTTCATTGTGTTTCCTAATGAATTTACTTATGTTAATGAAATGTACTTAAATTCTTTCAAAAAGTTACTTTTAAGTGTAAACCATACATTTTAGGTTTTATATTACATTTTTTATATTATAGGCTTTATACATTTTATGCTTAAATTATTTTATATAACTAATTTTATTTTTACTAACCATCGATTTCTGGTTTTATGGACCTTTAAATATCTTTTATGCAAAACTAGTCGAAACAGATTTTGCTGTGATGGGTAATTTTTAATTCGTGTTAACTTTAAAAATGAATCTAATCAGCGTCAACACATAAAATGTGCAGTAATGATGCCTGAATGAAGAGTTTCTCTGAACCTTTGCATTTATTAGATTTTTACAGTAATTTACCCTTCGTCAGTTAAAGAGGTCATATGATGTTGCTAAAAAGAACATTATTTTGTGTATTTGGTGTAATGAAATGTGTTTATGCAGTTTAAGGTTAAACAAACACATTATTTTCCACATACTGTACATTATTGTTTTCTTAATCACTGATTTCTAGTCGTGTCCTCTTTTGGAAGGCCAAACAACGTTTTTTCGCTTTCGCAAAGAAACACACAGCGTCTTCACAACATGGCAGCGGCGGTGGCAGCAACAATAAAGTTACGCCTTCTTTCTTTGCGTGAACATTTGGGCGGCGTTATGTAAATCTTCCCACATCGTGACGTAGACATGTTGGGGGCGTGTTAAAACGAGGCGTTTTAGGGGGGCGTGGACGAGTCTTAACTTCTATAAAGAATATCTCTTTGGGTTTGAGACTTTAGTCTTTGCAACTTTAGGGATCTTATCTATTCACGAACAGCTTGTAACACTCCAAAGAGAAAGGAAAACTTGAAATCGCATCATATGACCCCTTTAAAGAAACCGTGTTAGGCTCACAGGACACTCTCTCGTTCCTCAGCAGCATCGGTGGCGGGACCGGTGGACCTCTTCTGGTAGACTCCACGTAGGTTCTGGTTGGGCAGCGTGGTGGTTTCGGTGCTGGATCCTGGTCGTATAATGATCGAGGGGCAGTCGGTGGAGTCGGGGGTCTCCTGCTGGGTGCTGTTGTTGATGTTGTTGTTGAGCGCAGTATTGTCAGGTGAGCAGTTGAGGTTGCTCACAGCTGAAGTGGGCCAGCTCTCCTCAGGGGTACTGCTGTCAGAGAGAGCGTCAGAACAGATGGACATCCGGGCCACCGCCTCATTCTGAAGGTTACTCAGCCTGTGTGGTAAGACTCGCTTCTTAACCGGGCTCTCAAGAACCAGCTCGATCAGATGGGCCTCCTCTTCTTTCTTCTCACTGGACTTCTCCTCCTTCTCTAGGGCCGATTCGCTCTCCTCATCTTGCAGCGAGTGGTCTGATGAGCTCCTGCTCGACCTCACTCCGGAATCAGATGATTTCTTGTCCAGTATGATGTCTGAGATGTAGCTCTTCCCTTTAGCTAAGAGGCCTGGTTCAGCAGCCCAAGGTTCCTCTCTCAGCAGCGGGGTGGCGTCTGTCTCCTCATCGCCTGAATCTTCTTCATCGCTCGGTATGCTGTGGTAAGATGGTCCCTGTCCTTTGGTCTTGCGTCTGGGTGGGATTTTAGTGGTGGACCCATGCTCTGACTTCTCATCCTCCTCTGTAATGTGATCTAAAAGACCACCGTCTGGGACGGACGAGAAGTCCACAATAATGTCTGCAGGTTTGGAGTTCTTTTTGGCGAAGGGTTTGCGCCCGTCTTGCTCACCTTCCTTAGTCTTGTCCTCAGAGCTGGCTGTGAAGAACTGGCCAGACAGGACTTGAGCGGGACTCTCTCGTCCAGCAGCAGATACCTCAAGCTGGGACATGTGGGAGATATATTCCTGGTAAGCGCTGCGATACTCAGCTTGCTGCTTGTCGGTCAGCTTGCAGATGTCGTTGGATGATTCCTGAGAGTTCAGGCTGGATATTCTTTGGCGTCCAGGCAAAATTGAGTTTTCAAATAGGATTCCATGCAACTAGGAATTTTGCCTGAGGGCAAAAGTTTTTCCCACACAGATTTTGCGTTGAGTTCAGTTGGTCATGTGAATTTGCTGCATTGACCAATAGAAAGCTGTTTGGTTTGAAAGTGACCTTTGTGTGATATGTGCTTCATACACTGCTATGATCGTGGCAAGTGAATGCAGTTGTAGCGTTGACACTCTGCCTGTTTTTGGGATTCTGTAAAAAATACAGGGTCTTAGACAGCACAGTCTGCAGGAAGCTCTAATCCACAGAAAGTTCTATTTGTACACTAATGGTTACAAACTCTCTGCGCCTCCCTACAATCATATTTTGAGTGTGACTCATTGTGGCAAAAAAA